ACTATACTTACCTTGTTTATAACTGGAATTACTGATAGCTGTGCTTCAAAGGCAAGAAAGAAGTTTGCTACAGTTTGGGCTTGAATACCCTGGAAATATCAAGACACAAGACACTGGGATGACAACCATTCTACTACCCATTACAAAACTTGTAATTCAAGACCATTCCACACATCTTTATCAAAACTGAGGTTTTGCATCACTCTAATAATAAAATTAAACAAAATGCCATATATCTGCCCTCCATACTCTTCTCTCCATCTTATGTCTTGGGGGTCAAAACAAAGACGGCTGATGGTAAAGCAATAACCACATCAAGCAGGGTGGGCCAACAGACACTCACTGCTAAGTTTGAGATAAGAAGCCTCAAGCAGGGGTACAGGGCAAACAAGCTATGGGAACTATACTCCGTGCCTATGGATCACTCCCTGTGATAATTCCTTTTCTGTTCAGGAAGCATTTATTAGAGGGCCTATTCTATGGCAGGCATTGAAGACGCAAAGATAAAACATGGACTTCCAAGGATCTGAAAGCCTACTAGAGGGCACGGTCATGTAACACAGTATATAAAGTCCAGTACCATGTACATAAGGTACAGACTGACTTTTCCTGGCAGGATCAGGAAAAGCTTACCACCTCCACGACAACACACCCTTTGGGTTTTGAATAAAGAGTTTGTGAGAAACTGAGATATATCGAAAGCTTACTTCAGTATATCATGGTCATCTGTTGATTGTGTTTTTATGGTTTATACCACAAAAGAACTTGGTAATATTATTTGATTTTTTTTAAACCTAACACTTTCCAAATTGTGGCCTTAAAATCACCTAAAATGATCTGAAAACTAAAGATTTATTTCCAAGCACTCCCAAAAATTGATATGGAAACCTCAGATTAAAAACTGCTAGAATTGGAGTGTTTTTTTGGGGCAGGATGCACTGATATACGACATCATACTTCAACAAAAATATGACAATCTTTTGAACAATTCTTCTGATCAGTTCTCAAATATTAAAAGATGGTCAATTCCACAGAATGCTTTAGTGTAATAAAACCTCAAGTTAACAGGATCAAAGAATACAATTTTGAATAATACAATAAATCTATGTTTTTTCAAACACAAAAATTCTATTTCCAAAACACATTTTAAGGAAAACCTCTTGAAACAACCAAGCAGGCATGTCATATCACATGTCAGAACACATAAAATGAAAAACACCCACCTCATTTGCATCAACCACAAGTAGAACGCCCTGGCAAGCGGAAAGTGACCTGGATACTTCATAACTAAAGTCAACATGGCCCTGAGAAACAAAAATATTGATACCTCTAAATGTTAGCTGTAATTTTTTTAGAAAGGGCCATTATGGCAAATCTACCGACACTACTTGATAAAAAGTTGTTAAATATACGTTTCCTTTTTTTAGCTTGCACTTTTGAAACAATTTACACTTAAGGACACTGACAAAACAAAAAGAAAACATAGATGTTTCAGTTCAAAAATTAAGTAAGGATTTGTTTGCACTATTAACACAAGGTTGACTTTAACAATACATGCAAAATTAATATTAAACTTACTGGTGTATCAATGAGATTTAAAAGGTATTGCTTTCCTTCACAATTGTAAAAAAGAGACGCTGTCTGTGCTTTAACAGTGATTCCTCTTTCTCGTTCCACTTGCAATTTATCAAGAACCTGCTTGTTATTCTTTGTTTTATCAATTGTTCCTACAAAAAGAAAAACTTATCGATATTGCTCTGGACTTTAAAAAAGATTTTTTAGAGTATTACATATAAAATTAAAACCGAAATTTAAGACAGCATGGAAAAAGTAATTCCCAATTACTCACAGCTATTGATTAAGTATATAACATAAAATGAAAATACCTGTTAGTTCTAGGAGCCTGTCTGCTAAAGTACTTTTGCCATGATCCAC